AATATGAATGTAACAAAAGGTTGAGCCTACGTTTGTATCCATCGCTCTCATCACAACTGGGTATACATGTCCTTTTCGGGAAACCGAAGGAAAACAACCATTTTGGGGGGGGTGCCTCCAAACAGACATGCCCACATAGCGCTTTGGGCATGTGTCACAACGGATGGCGCTTGCAATCCAAGAACTGTATCCTTCATACGCGATGGTTTTGCTGTTGCTCCGAAAGAAGCCAACCAGGAATGTGTTATTGTTGAATCGGTTCAGGGCCTCACCGGGAGAAGCACCCTACTTCTGTTTTGGGTGTGTTTCGTCGTGCGCGTGTGGATCCAGTTTCTCCAAAGATTGACGTGGCGGGAGTAGGGGCAGTTCTGGCCTGTTGGAAGCTTGCCAGTACTTGCTCCCCAAGATCGACACGCCAAGCACAACAAGCAAAACACATGACGAAGCAAACCACAAACGCGACATTTGGGGGGAAAACACGCACGTTCCGGGACCCCCAAACAACCCTTCAACAAGTGGAAGCCACCCCATAATGTTAGGGCCGTGTCCCTTCTTTGGGTTAGTTTGAGGGGTCCAGCTGGGAGCTTTCCTGGGCAACAACCGCCTCGCGTGAGAAATTTCAGGCGCTGATTCACCCCTTCCTCTCGGCGCGAGACCTCTTGGCACTCGCAGCCCGGCTCCAGTGAGTAGTGAGTGGCGCCCTTTTCCCCCACCCGACAGGAAGGGGTTGTTCGATTTTATGTTGGAGTCCGCGTTTGCGAGTGGTGGAGGGTGGGGATTGCTGGAAGCGAAGTAACTTCTTTTTTTTAGGGAAGGGTTCTCCTTTCAACTCAGCCAACCAAGAAAGGAGCTGGTGGCCACTGGGCATTTGAGGCCCTTTGAGCGCCATTGCCTCGGAAAGGGCGGAAGGGTTGCTTTCCCCCTTTTTGGTTTGGAACATCCGCCTGGGGCGAGTTTCCTTCGCTGGAAATGACGGGGAGATGGTGGGGACCCTCTGGGGCCTGTCCTTTTTGAGGGTGTGTGGACGGTTTTTGAAGGGAATCCAAGGGAAACCACAATTTTCGAGGGTCTCCTATAAGTGAAACAACTGTGGGATAGGTTCCCTGTTTTCAGGGTAGTTTCTTGGCTTCCATGTCTGTACCAGCGAGCCATGAGGTCCCCTGTTTAGGGGCTGAATCTGGCGTTTGGATGGCCAATCGTCCATTTATACCACGCCCGCCCAGCCTGTGCAACAACTCACTCCATGCCCTTTGCTCAAGCGTAGCTCAGGGATGAGAAGGAAAATCCCAGCAGTGCACTGGGCCAAGGGTGCCCACTACACGTTTGCCAGCATTGGTCCAAAGCAAGAATCCAGGTAGCAGCAAAGTTCCAATGTGCACGGAGGTAAACCCACATGAAAAAGCCATTGAAATCGGGAAACCCGCGACTCATGGAAACCCCCCCTCTTGGTTTTCCAATGAATCGAGAACTTATCATTACTGGATGTTGTTTTTCCAGGGGGTCGTATCCGAGATGTTGTCTTTTGTGGCGCTGGGTCAGGTGTGCTTTTGCAAGGGCAAGTGGGTTGCATCAGAGTCGCCATTATGATTGAGCTGATTGAGGCTAAAGCCTTGTTCACGGTTGGAGATCATTGCAAAGTGTAGCCGCTGTTTTTCCCCTTTTTTTCGTGGGGTCGGCCGGGGAATGTGTTTCACTGGCAGCCGGAGAAGAAAACAATAACACAAACGGCCTTGGATCACGCTGGCTCAAGACCTCTGGCCCATGGCATCGAAGTGGTTTCCGAGTCACTTGGACAAAACCGAGCGATGTGCAACTCGACCCGTGGATCTTCGATCAGCTCACTTCCTGAGTTCGTGGGCTTCATCCAGGGCTCCCTAAAAGAAAGATAACCATTCTGCGACCAGTTGAAGCATGTTGCTTTTTCAACACCAAAATAAAGGAATGACGGGAAATCACCATTTACAAGTTGCAATGTGCAGGTGTATAATGTAAGGATCCCTCCCTGTACTCTTTGCGGGGAAACAAGAAACATGGACATTTTCGGATTGAGCAGAACTCCTGGATGTGGTAATTTGCGCTGTCGTTGGCAGGTTTTTAGGTTGCGAGTTCTTCTTGGTTCTGTTTGTGAATTGTTTGTGGGGACTGCAAATAAAGAATCAGTTTTTGCAAATTTACCAAGGGTTGGAAAGTAACCCCCGGATTTAAGCAGAATCCCTGGTTGATTTTGATCGGCGGGTGTCCCATGGTGTCCCCTTGGACCTCCCCTAGATCCTGTCCAGTCCCAAAGGGAGCCTCCAAATCGAAGGTACCAAGGGACCCTTACATGAGTGGAGGAAGCTTCACAAATTCCCGTGCAGAAGGGATCTTTTGTTTCATGTGGGCTTACGCAGTCCAGTGGCTATTGCAATCAAGCGCGTGGGGAAACTCCACCACCAGATGGATTTCTCAGATCTTTGCAAAGGCAACACTTCAACAGTTGCTTTGGCAGTTCGCTGCAAAGGCCAAGAATATCAGGAATATCAGTTCGGGGAGGGGGGATCTCGACTCTGGAATTCCATTTGATCAATTTGTCGTTTCGTGTTGAATCCTACCCCGCCCCCTCCCCCCCCCTTTCCGGTAGGCGGGATGCTTTATGGCAAGTAAATTAGGTATACGAAGAGCCGCAAAACTATGGTGATTTACGTCAAGTGGGATTTGTCCCTTTGTCCCCTGACTTGCGTTCTGGGATTGGGGCATCCGGGATTCTTAAGGAATGTCAAGCTGCTGAGTATTGCCAGGAGGATCCTGCGGCTCGCTTTGGCTTTGAATCGGTTTCGTATTGGATCTGGGTTCCGGCATTCTCAAAAAATCCGGACCAGCTTTTGGGTGATTTCGACCTATCCTCGTTGGGGGTATGACATGTTTGGGCCTCTTGGTTCTCAAACCTATCCTTCCCATTTGGCCTTAAAAAGGCGTTAACGTTGCCCTTCCGCAAGGCTTCCACAGAGGCAATTTTCATATACCCAAAAAACCACCCAAAAGACCCCGATTCCGTTTTTTTTCTGCCTTAGGGACCCCAACAAAAGGGGTAGAAAGGCAGAACAAAAATCGGGGTCCTTTGGGGGTCCAGGACTGTGGGTGGTTGCACTTGGAACGTCTTGGAACCCATGGTTGACACCATTGCTTGTCGGTATTTGCATTGATCTTCATTCCAGGGTTTCTTAGGGTAGTGCAGGATTTCGTCCGTCCGAAATGAGATTCTGGAAGCCATTTCAAGCCCGCATGGCCCCCTGGTCAGGGTCCCCCAAAGCGAACCCTAGCCCTAAACAGCCGCCTTAGTCGTGTTTTTGTTCGTCCCTATTGAGATTGGAGTGGCCCATATGTTGGGGCCCTTGACGTTGGGAAGCTCGCTTCCTGAGTCCTAAAAGCTTTTGGGGTTGGTCCATTTTCGTGGCCACCGAAGAGGTTGAGCACTCCCTACTCCAAATACCCTCCTTTTTTCCGGGGTATCATGTCGACCCTCTACTAAAAAATGAGGTGTTTACCATGGAAACCCGGGTTTTCCCCCCAACAAATACCCAGAAAAAAACGGTGTTTTGAGTAGAGGGTACTTTTGACCCATCCACCCGATTGGAAAAGAGCCACTGGTGTCGCCGCCACTCGGGTTCGATCTGGCCCGCTGGTGTCGGCTTCTGAGGCTTCCAGAAGGAGCTGCCCAGGGCAGATGGCAAAGTCTTTGCGGCCCGGACAACCAAAGGGAGCCTCAGGTAGGAAGCCCTAAGTCCCAAGCCTTGTTCGGAGTCTTCGGGGGGTTTAGGGTCTTGTGCTCCTACCCAAAGGCTCCTGCAGCTTTCAATGGAAGACCCGACCCCTCCAATAGACACCCCGGTAAGGCCCTAATCGAATTTGAGATTTGGGTAGGAGCACAAGACCCTAACCCCCCCGAAGACTCCGAACAAACAGGTCTTGGGGTGGTTTACTGTGGATGTTGCCTATTTTATCACACGAGCGATTTTTCGATCCCCCAGCGATCGGAAGTAAGAGCGAAAGCCGCGCTGGGGATCCGATTCATTCAGCTTACTGCTTTTGGAATTTCGGTGGTTCAGTGGTTTCATGTTAGACTTTGAACATGGTACCAGGGAATGCAAAAAAACCCTCAACATTTTGAACATCATAGTTTTAGGGCAAGAACCAAGTTGTAAGGGTAGCTTGAAGGTGGTGGTTAGTTCTAACTATGGCAAGAGAACTCTCCCCAGTTTTCCCGTTTACCTTGTAAACCACACTAACCTGCGACGTGGGTTGAGCATCGGCCGGTGAATGCTGTGAGGCCCAACTGACCAATGGATGGCCCGCGTATGTCGCCAACCAATACCACAGAATCATGACAACATGTGTCCCCTCATCATCCACCATACGGGGACGCAGGATTTTTTAACAGCCACATTTATGGTCATAACATACCAGGACCCCCAAAGGACCCCTTTTTTCTGCCTTTGTACCCCTTTTTTTGGGGTCAAAGGCAGAAAAAAAGGGTCCTTTGGGGGTCCAGGTATGCATGCGTGCAGTTCTGTAGCATCTTGTAACACTCGGGACCCCGATCCTTGCTTGATCCAGTTCAGTCAGGATCTCCAAGGTTCTGTTGAACAAGACTTAGGGGGGCGAGGCTTAACAGGTCCAAACAACTGCGACCCGAATATGGCCAAAACTAGTTGTTTTTTATTCTGAGGGAGGGGTCAGGCCAGACAAAAGCTTCCTTCTTGGGGTGCCTATCAGAACTTGGAGTCATAGCACTGGTTTGGACGTCCTACTCTTTGGAAACGCGTATTATTATCTACCTTTGCATTGTGGCTGGCGGCGGGAAGTGTTGAAACCAGGAAGCTTGTGGCACTGATTCATAGATGACATGATGAAGCTTGGAACGGGCCAGTCAGTTTCATGAAGTCAGGGGGGAAGTCAATGGCTATCTGAGGATGATCCAAAGCCCAGGTTTTACGCGTGTGGCTTAGCAAACCACAGTGCACATGGGGGCGGGGTTGTAATATTGCAGGCTACCTTCAAGGGGGTTCGGAAAAGGGTCGCCACGTTTCCCAGGGGCCAAACTACCCATACCTTCAAAAGTGCGAGTTCGAACTTTTCGACTCAGTCGGCCAGTCGTGCAGACTAATAGGCACAGAGCAACCCTTGAAGCGTCTTTGTCAGCTGAGCCATAATCAAAACCCGGGTAGATGAAGGTTAATTAGTAAGGGGCAGTCCCAGCCAGAAATAGTTGCGGCCGCCTTCGTAATTCTTTACATGGCCCCGTGGCAGACCATTTTAATGCCGGGTTAGCTTTCCCTGAACTTGGATGATTTTCCAATTTGAGGGTCCAGCGACCGAGGCGATCACAGGCACCACCAGTGGCACGGGCTTTGTGGCTGCGCGAGTGGTGGCGCAACACGGCGGCGCAACACGTCCTGAGTTTAGGCAATTTCGGAGTGTCTTTTTAGGCAATTGCGGGGTGTCTTTTTTTGGGAACCGCCCCCCCCCCCCCCGCCAAAAAAAAAGGAAACAAAAGGAAGAAGAAGACAAAACATACGAATGTCGAAGGGAATCCCAAAGATTGTGGTTTTCCTTTGGTTTTTCTTGAAGGCCCCTTTTAATGGGTGCCCTCAAACAATCGACAAACCCAAGTACTTGCATAATTTATGGCGAGCTTACCTGGGGTAAAATTGATAAAGACCTTTACTTGGGGAGCCCTTGTTTTAGGTTTTGGAAACATTGTAAAACTTGCAGCTCCTTTGAGGGCATCGTTTGGTCTCAGGAGGTACTACTCCTGAACCGCGCATCAGAACGCGCACAGCGAGCCCACGCGGCGCTTGTGGCGGCAGTGCCCGAAGGGAAGTTTGTGCCTTGACTGAAGGGAGGCGTTTCTTGGTTGGTCTTCAGTGGTAGCTTCCATTTAGCCCACTAAAGGTGAGTCACTTTTAGCGGGGGATTTGAGGGCAGCGCAGGATGTTTTTCCGTATTTTTTCCCAAACCTACTGTGGATGGACGAAATCCATTTCGCACCACCTAAGAAGCCCTGGTTTCTGATGATTCCCCTGTAAATGCCAAGAAACGTTCTGGTTTCAACCATAGTTTCCAAGTGGTGCGAGAAGTGGACTTCGTCCATCCACACTTGGATCTATATTGTGAACTCCTGGTATGACCCTCTCTCTGCGTTCTGTCATCCCCTATGGTAGGGGAATGGTACCTATTTTGGACCCACAGCCATATGTTTTGCCGTACTTGGTTTCCACCACCTATCCGCTGGGGACAGCCCCTGGGCTTGCCTACAGCCCCCCGGGCCCCCGAGAGGTCAGCATCGAGTGCGACCTCTCAGACTTCAAATCCGTGCGGCGCGCGGGCCAGGAGATCAAGGCCCGGCGCGCGGGAGAGTGATCGCGGATCGGAACGGAAGCTAAGGGGACCAAATGAGTATGGGGCGTAAAACCGGGGGACCCCTGAAATTGGGGTTTTCCTTATTATTATTTTAATGGGTTGATTCCTTTATCCACTCGTTTCAACCATGGTTCTTTCCCCAAAACCGGAAATCCGTTTTTGCTGGGTTTCCGGAGGTTTTCTAGAAAGATACCCTGGAAAGAATGGGGAAGGTACACCTAGAGTTACAGTTGTTGGATCAAGTTGTTTTACCTGGTGCTTTCAAATTCTTTTTGAGCCACTGCCATTTTGGACACCATTTTTCGTCATGAGCCATGGCCCCAAAAGGTTTCTTTACGTTCAGATCTCCGGGCTAGACGTTACATCCGCCCGGATTCCTTAGGACCCCCACGGCCTCCAGCCTACGTCCCTTTTTTCCACAGGGCGTGGGCTCCCTGGTTTAAATCGCCCGAAAGAAAGAGGGCCTTTGTTCTTTTTCGACCTGGAAAGCTGGGACTCGGTTTGGGTGTTTCATGGTTCCCCCTCCCCTCCCCGCCAGAAAGACAAAAAGCAAAACAGAGAACAGCGTGACTTGAGAAAGCAACCCAAGAAGGGAACCCTCCAACAAGGTACCCTCCAAAAACACACATACACAACCATTGCTGCCATGAGTTTCGCATCCACGAAACAGCTCGGCGGAGACAGGACACCGGAGGATACCCCAAATGTTGGCCAAGTAAACTAACCAGACCCACCCACAAACCCATGGGGAAATACCCGCAAATGAGGGAGTTCCCATGTACTTGCAATATTTGTAAGGCACCCTCCGTACCCCCCCCCCCCCCCAATGCCAACTGTTCAGTCCCAACAAATGTGTTTGTTTTTTGGGGCTGGCTCCTGCGAAATGCTCTCCCTACTACCCTTGTTGACAACTGAAACTATATGTTTCCTGAAGCTAGTTGTTTGCTAAAAATCAATTCGGCTTTGTACCTTTTACTACCTGGCCCACTCATTTTGTGAGTTGTACTTTGCTCTCGTTGCTAAAGTGTTGTGTTCACTCTCATGCCTGGTGTGTGGGCTTATCGCAACTGCACTGGCTTATTGCTGGCTTCGCGAGCCGCTGCTACCTCGTGCCAGGCAAAGTATCAGAAGCTGTTTTGCTTAGCGAACAATGCCGGCATCATGGCCCTTCCAGATGTACCCACGGCGGATGGCTACGATCCGCAGATGCAGATCAACTACTTGTCCCACTTCTTGCTGACGCCTGGCAGGATTTCCAGGCAACCATCCAGGGCATGCCCTGGTACAAGGGAGAGGCGGGAATGTGGATCGGTTTCAAGGCAAAACGAGTACATCGGCCAACTTTTCGGGGAAATCCAACGAGCCCTGAACCAACCATGGACATTTGGAGGCCAGGAGTTGGAGCTAAGGAGTTTGCAACCTTACGGACTACAATCGAGTCATTCAAAAGGATGCTTGTCGCGCCCAAATTCAGGCGTGTGATTTCCATCCAATTGCTTGAAGTTTCTTCACTTCTCCCCTGGATTGAAAGGGCATCGATTTCGCTAGGGTGTGCTTTTTTGAGGGGATCCCCCGCAAAGAAAAGAAAGGTGGTTTTCCTCATGGTTTTTCCTCAACCCCACAAAAAAATGTACCCGCAAAAAAGACACCTGGAGTCTCCATGACCCTTTAGAAATGGGGGTCATTACCCCAATTAAAGGGGTCATGGACCCATTTTTTAATGGGTCATGGAGACTCCAGGCACCCACTTTTTTCGGTTTTTTTTTCAGCCTTTCGACCGGGAAACAAAAGACGAAGCTGAGGACGGCAGAGCTGTTCCCCTTGCTGGAGGCTGAGGCACAGCAGTGGCCTGGCTTCCGAGGTTTTTTCTTTTGGTTTTCGGCTTTTCCCCTTCAGGAAGTCTTCTTGGTCCAGGGAATCTTTCCAGTCCTTTCTTTCCAGAATCGCCAGAAGCCTCTGAGCCTTGATCCTCAGATCAACCTCTTCCAAACTCTCGGGAACTCCAGATCTATTTGACAGGTCATGATATTGACTGTTTGTGGGGGGGTTAAAAGTCAGAAACTGGTTGGTGGTCGATGTGTTGTTGTTGTTGTTTTTGTTCTTGTTGTTTTTGTTCTTGTACGGTTTTTCGGCTTTCCCCCTTCACTTGACTGCTATTGGGTTGGATCTTTAGGCTTTAATTTTTGGTTGAAATCAGGGGTTTTCCCCCTTCAGAGGTCATGATACTGTGGATGGACGAATTCCATTTCGCACCACCTGAAAGACATGATAAACCCTTGTTTTGGTGGCATTGGAATTATGATTCTACGGTTTGTTTTTAGTTTTGTTTTTTGGACTGCTATTGGGTTGGATCTTCAGAATTTAACTGTTTGGTTGAAATCAAGGGGTTGTCCACTAAACCCGCAAAAAGTTAGACTTTTTGCAAAGGGATCAGCAGCAACCAAGTTTAGAGGTCATGATATTGACTGTTTGTGGGGGGTAAAGGTCAGAAACTGGTGGGTGGTGCCCCTTCAACCTACCACTGAATGGTGGTGACTTCGATGGTGCTGAAATTTTATTTGGCCAGGCCTTTGCCTTAGACAGCCAGGACAGCCTTTGGTCAGAAGGGTAGGGTGTTGTTAGCGCCTGTTTCGGTGTTTCTGTGGTCAGGAGTGCTTTTCGCGAAGGTTTGGGTGTTTTGTGGGTCTTCCGCTTCGAAAGCCATGGTTGAGCCTGACGTTTTTTCCCCAGTGGAACAGCTATGGGGTCGATAGGCCCAATGGGGTTCGGGGTGGAAAGGTTGCTGGCGGGGATTGGCTGGGCTTATTGAATTTGTTGCCCTCCTCTTAGCACTAACATGGAGGACGTTTTTGCCTTTATCAGGGATGGTAATTCAAGAAGCTGGTGGAATGAGGATTTGAACCCTGGTGCTTGTAGTAGGGGAAAAGCAAGGAAACACCCCCAACCAATTGGAGTGAAGCTGAATGTTATGGAGGATCCATTTACCTGGTTAGTACAGTATGTGTCCAGACCCAGGCTTTAAAATGAAAAGGTCAATAGCTGGCGGTCTTCTATCTGGGCTTTCCTGGGATTGACTGGCAAGTACCTTGACTGCTATTGGGTTGGATCTTTTGGCTTTAACTTTTGGGAAATCAAGGGGTTTCCACTAAACCCCCAAAAAGGTAAACTTTTTGCAGGGGGGTCAACAGCAACCAAGGTCCGGGATGGCAATTTGATTAAATGCAGGCGACCGCATGGCTGAGGTCTGGGGAGGCGCGGGTCGTGAACCACTCCAGCACCGCGGCATGCAAAGCTGACGGACTGACCGGCAGCAATACGGGCGTGTTTCTTTTTTTTTGGGCCCCCTCCCCACCAAAAAAGAAAGGTTTTCCGGGCCGTCCTTTAAAAGCACCAACAAAGGGGTATCCTCAAAAAAGGCACCCCCAGCAGGAGTGTGTGCTGTGTGCCCCTTTTTACCCATGGCCACTTTGCGTCCCTGTTGCAACTTCAACGATTTGGAGGTGTGAATAGGTCAACTATTCCAGATGTGAGACAGATTATATGCGTGGCAAGTTCGCCTTCATGGAACCCAATGCCAACTTGACTCTGGGCCTGGCGCCAGGCATGGGGCGGAACTTCCTGCGCGAGAAGGTCGTAGAAGAGTCGCTCGGATTTTGGTCGCGGGCACCAGGGCCAACGGAAAAACCCAGTGAAAACATACCCAGGCGGCCGGCTGCTTCCTTTGTGATTTGTGGACAACCCCAGAAAGGGAGCGGTTTTTGTTTGTCCATGGCCACTGGGAGTCTGGGCTACCCAAGTGTTTACACAGGGTTCTCCCGTTTGCAGCATTGGTCTCACGGAAGAGGGCACTTTGGTAGATAGGGCGGCGTGGATAATCAGGTAACCACGTGCTGCCCGGAATGTGCCCCATGTATATGTATATATATATATATATTTACATACTATAGCCATTAGATTGCAGTTTTCCTGTCCGTTGCATGATGTTGCATGTGCTTGCAGTCGTTATTCTTTTCTTCTCCAGTTTGTTCCTGTTTCTTTCTGGTGGCGGTTTGCTGGTTTGCTTGAGGTTGCTTGGCAAAGCAGCTCCTTTTTGGGACAGATCAAGCTGAGCTTCCTTTGGTGTGTTGCTCCAAAAGGACGTAAGCAAATGGGAGGTCGCAGGCTAACGTCAACCAAGGTCTAGGCGCAACCAACAGTCCCATAGAGCGGCCTCCGTGGCCCATGGGTCCCATGGGTCGCTGCGCTTCCTCTCCTCATCCGGCAAGGAAGTACCTCCGGGCGACCAAGCCCCAGCAGCTGGGCGGCGACTCGATCCGCCTGGGCGGTGGGGCGCGCCTGGTGCGCTACTTCAAGCGACTTCGGCCCGAGATCAAAACGCACCGCTTTTTTTTCGCAGCGCGTTTTTTTTTGTCGCGAAGTCCTCCCAGCCCAAGAAGGGTCCAATTGTTTGGTACCCTTGGCTGAGGCTGGGCCAATTTTTGAAGTTGTGCTCGTTTCAATTCAAGGGGTGCGGTGAGCTTTGATTCACCTTGCGGTTCTGCTTGGTCTACGTTTGGGTTTCTGTCCGTTCCAGTTGTGGGGCGAGGTTTTCCTACGGAAAGCTGCCGCCCTCAGAAAAGTTGCCATAAAGCATTCCTGGTTTGTTCCACTGGAAGTATGACCTTCCTGACCGAGGTCCAAGTTGGCGAACAGCATTTTCACCTACGCCCTGCATGACCGACTGCACCGCCCGAACGGCGAGGGAGTGTCTGCTTCGTCCAAGCGCGCCCCAGACATCCAGTGGTGAGCTTTTTCATATGCGCAGTTCTCAAAACTTGCGCTGGCCAATTTGGTAACGGTTGTACCTGGTTTCGTTAGGGGGTTATAGTAAGGCCTGCATAAACCTTAAGACCATTTTGGTATAACCGACAGTCTCTGGTTTTGAGCGCTGCTTATGTTTTTGGAGGGGGGGGGGTCCATTTTAACCCATTTTTAACTCAACTGCCAAAACAACAACAATGTTGAAACAGCTTGTTGCCTTGCTTTTGGTTGTTCTTCTAAAATCAACTACTGAAACAAAAGATGTTCTTTTTCCATTGGAGATCTCCAGCTGGACCCTCAAACTACCCAGAAAATCATGGAGTTCACTCCAGAATTTTAGTGGCAATGAGGGTCCAGGAGCTTCTTCCAGATCTTCTTTTGGTCACCTCACAACCGTCCCTCATGACAAAACCCAGCGGCCCGTCCACCCAGTCCCTTCCCATAGAAAATCCATCAGGCTGATGCATCCCCGGTGACCGCTGGAATTCCATTTATGATGAGCCATTTTCCCTTTGTGGGGAAGACTACCTGGAGTCTCCTTCTAAAAAAAGGTTGGTCATTACCCAACAGAACGGGGTCATTGACCCATTTTTTAAGGGTCATGGAGACTCCAGGTAGGTTTATTCAACAAAACCTGGTTACCTGCTATAGTGGCCTCTTCTTAAACCAAGAGAATCATGGACCTCCCCACCCCTCCCCGCTCTACCGAGAGGGATGCTGAGGCGTTAAGGCGCTTTGCGCCCACCCGGGGGCTGCAACCACACGGCTGGACCGGGACGTGCAGCTGCTGGGACCGGTGAGACTTGCTACCCCGATTTTGGGAAGTCTCAAAGAGCTTCCGTTTGCTTAAGAATATTTTTGTTTTTCCCCTTGTTGGTTTTACAGGGAATCTATCACTACTGGATCATATTTGTATTTTTCCAGGGGTCTTGAGCAAATGGAAGAGAGGAACGTCGTCCTTCAGGGGTCAAACAGCAGAAAACACAATGTTAGTCGGTAGGGTAAATTTTGTGAAACCAAGGGTTTGATCTCTTTGATCCTTCCAAATTCAACCCCTAGGGGTGGTTTCCTTTGAATGTCCTTAAGCAACCTAGGCGCCCTGGAACCTCAAATGACCCTGAAACACGAGAACAGGTGGTTGGAGGGCTTTGGCAGACTAAATATGTAACTTTTTTCGGTGCAAGTTATTCAATGAACTCAGGCTTGTTACCCCGACAGCAACACAGAGTTCGTCTTAAATCAGGTTTTGGAATTCGTAACTGCGATGTTTCTGGGGTTTCAAGATGGGGCCCTTTGGGCCCAGCGGAGCTTTCCTTTGTGTTTGAGGTAGTTGCCCTTCGAAAGGTGCCCGCAGCGCGCTCCAGACTGGAGGTCTTACCAATCCACCATGGAATTCAGCAGGGGTGCCCCTTGTGCCTCCAGTGTGGTTTACTTCCTAGGTCCCCCAGGAGTGCCCCACCCTTTTTTGGGGAAGGGTCCCCCTACTAAAATAGACTACAGAAAAAATTCGGGCACCCTTATTCGAAGCTCTCAAATCTGGAGGACCTAGCTTCTTTTGGAGCCCATCCACTTCCTCTCGGAAGTGAGTCCTAGATAGCCAAGTTGCGATCGCTTTTTCAGTCACTGCTGCTGGTTGCTGGTTTTTGGGGTAAAGTTCCTGGAAAAAAGCAATCTCAACGGGCGATCCAGGTTGGTTCCTTGTCCCCTCCCACCCTTTTCACATGGAACCTGAGGAATTCGGGGGGGTCCTGGTTTGGACTGTTGAAACACCGGTTTGCTCTTGGGGGGTTACCTGGGCATAGTCATACGATCCAGGGTCTTCTCAGGTTCCCCTGCTGCTCCGGCTGCCTCTTCGGACTCTTTAAGCTCACCTGGCAGAGCAGCGAGGACGGCGCCATGGGGCTGTTGAAGGCGATGCCGCCCGTCCGAATTTTCGGAGGTTCGGAGTTCGGTTCCGGAGTAGAAAGAGATTCCTCCAGGGGATGGTTCAAGCAGATGCCACTATAAGGTAACCAGTTTTTGTTGAATAAAAGAACCTACCTGGAGTCTCCTTTTGACCCTTAAAAAATGGTTGGTCATGAACCCTAAAATAAAGGGGTCATTGAACCATTTTTGAAGGGTCATGGAGAATCCAGGTAGGTTCCACTTGGTAGAAGAAGATTCCTGCAGGGGATGATTCCCTTTCCATTCTTTTCAATCACCGTTCTTTTCAAACACCTGCCGTTTCCCTGGGTTTCTGGAGGTTTTCTGGAAAGAAGGATCCCTGGAAAGAATGGGGAAGGTACCCCTAGAATTCCACTTGGAGTGGGCTGATGTGTCGCACCCCTTGGTTATTTAGATTGGTGGCTGGGATCTGGATGTGCTCTTGAAGGTAAATGGGAAACCACAGCACTCGGCCACCCCGCAAACCTCCAACAAATCACCAAGTAGGGAGAAGCTGAGAACCCCCGACCAGGTGGTCAAATTAAACGGAGGCTTCCATGTTGCCTTCCATTTGATGAGAAATGGAGCGACTTCGTAGCGCAAGAAACGGAACGAAGCATTTGATGAACGTAATATTTGTTTTATTTTCTTGTTTGGTTTTAAAGGCAATCGATTTCACTACTGGAAATAAGTCCTCATTTTTTCCAGGTGCGCAAACGCAAATGGAAGTTGCACTTGAAGAGAACGAAGGCGACGGCCCAGTGGCCCACACATCCGCACAGCCAAGGATGGACCCGGACGCAGAGAGCGGGGTTTTGTACGGCCCGGCGAACGACGGCTTGTGCCTCGTCCGACGACATTCGCTGAATTCGATGTGTTTTTTTTTAAGCAAGCATGATTTCCTTGGCTTAAGAAGAGATGGCCATGAACGGCACCCAGTGCTTCCAAGCAGGCCACTATAGCAGGTAATCTCCATGACCCTCTTGAAAATAAGGGTCATTACCGTCATTACCCTTTAAAAAAAGGGTCCTGGAGACTCCATGTAGGTTTTGCCAGGGATGGGTTCCCCTGGCTACCTACTTGTAGTGGTTTGCCAGGGGGGCAGTGGAGCTTGTATCACCCGAGAGGCGTGGGTGTCTGAGCTCTCCCTCCCCTAAAGACATGCCCAAACAAAGGTTAAACATCCAGCCCCCCCCCCACAACGACTGCATTTTCAACCAGGTCCAAAACCCCAAGTGCATCTAAGTACGGTAACCCAAAAGCAGTGTTTGGGACCCGGGTGCTGGACATTCAGCGCCCGAAAGTGCCTCCCGCACGCGGGGTTTGGTGAAGGACATTCTTTCAGCTCGATGAAGTTTCCGCTGAAGTCTCAAAGCAGCGTTGGGTTCATCTTTGCTCAGCAGGAAGCGACCATCCCAGACCTCCGGCAGCGCGGCAGCGACCTTTCTTTTTTTTGGTGCGGGTTGTCCTTCAAAATTCAGGTGCCCCTGAATTGGTGGCCTGGTGGAAATTCAACCAGCCACCAACAGGGTGTCCTTGTTTCTGCCCTGCCACTGGACATGGCACAAACAACTTGGAAGGGTCTCTACCCGGGCAGCTTCGTTCTCTTTTGTTTCTTCGTCTGAGGACGGGCCCAGCGGTGGCAAATCCACGTTACCCCGGCGCAGAGACAGATCCTGCAGCGCAGGAGAGCCAGTGGTCCCTCAAGTGACCCTTAAAACCGGGAAGCCCACTCTGATTTTAGCGCAAGAATCATTTTGTTGATCCTCAGTTGTTCAGTGGCACCCTTTTTCCTTTTTGTTGGTGGCTGCCCCAATACCCGATGGACTTTTGGGTTTTGGGATCATATACATGCCCTGTGACCTGCGGAAATCTGGAGGTCTTACCCAGTCCAACATAGAACCGACCAGGGGGCCCTTCTGAGCAGAAAGCAATCTTCCAGGTCGTAATCATGACTTATAGTGTGTGTGTGTGTGTGACCCCCGTGCTTCCAGTCGCCACCATGGAAGGTAATTCCACAGCTCTCCCGTCCAGGCAACATGGTGATGGGATTCAGCGCACGCAACGGCACAGCTGAAGGGAACTCCATTTGGAACCTTCATGGATCAGAGCCGTGAAACCGCAACCAGACTTACCAGAAATCCTTTCAGTTCCCTTACCATCCCTTTGTGCGCTTAGCCTCTGGAGCCAAAGGTCATGGAACATATTCTTAGATGTTCCGCCTACCTGGACCCAACTACAGATGCACAGTTGTTCAGTGACCCTGGAAAAGAAAGGAACCCTTTTCGGGGAAGACCATTTTTAGTGGGGCAGCCACCAACAAAAGTCTAGGTCCCCCAGCTAGGTGCCCTTTCACCCTTTTGTTGGGGGAGGGTTCCCCCACTAAACTAGACCACAGAAAAAAGAAATGGTACCCTTATTCTAACCTCTCAACTGGAGGACCTCGAAGTATATGAGGCTTCCCTGGGGCCGGCTGAACCGGTTTTCGGCCCCGGTGTTCGGGCCCCGCCTGAGGAGATGCTGTGGCGCTGGAGTGAGGAGGCCACCGGCCTCCGATTCCTCTGAGTCCTGCGGGTTGGCAAGTGGAACGAAAGTGCCATCTAAGCCAGTGCCAGCTGTACTTAACCAAATTAACCTAAATAAGCCACCTGTGAACAGAACCTTTGTTTTTGCAGCTTGGGGGGACAACTCTGCGCATTTGCTTTGGTCTGGTAGAGGTGGTGCAGAATTTCGTCATTTTCAGAAAGGCCACAGTGGAAAACGCCGGCATGGTTACTTGGTCCCCCAGTAGTGCCCTTTTACCCTTTTTTGGAGGAGGGTTCCCCCACTAAAATAGACTGCAGAAAAAAAAAGGTGCCCTTTATAACCTCTCTACTGGAGGACCTAGTTTAAACTTAGTGGACACGCGGAGATGTTTGACAACTTGGAGGCATCTTGGTCGAACTCTGGATCCCCATCACTCCAAGTTCAGGCAGAAGTAGGGTGCAGGAACTTTGGCAAAGCTTTTGACTGTTGAAAAATCGGTGTGGCTCAAAGTTTTCAACTAGGGCTACGCAGGTTTGAGCCTTTGGTTACACTCAGTTGCCCAAAGCCGACCTTTTGGTTTCTCCTTTTTGGTCTAGTTTTAGTCGTGGCCCCCAAAGGTTAACCTTTTATTTCTGGGTTCTTTGGGCAAGTGAGTACATCTGCCAAGGTGCCATTTTGGCGCACGTGTTTGACCCACAGCCAACTTGGCCAATCGGTTTTTGGTGCCCTGCGAGTTGGGCAGACGGAGCGACAGTGCGACAGCGCAACCCCAAGGTGGGTGGCCACGCGTGCGACGTGTTGCGCTGCAAAAGTGGCTGCAAAGCGCAGGGGCCACGTGCGGGGACTCTTGCTTCTATTTGCTGAAACGAATACTTGTTTTTTTGTTTTTTTCCCCCAGAAGGAAGTCTATCACTACTGGACATATTTACATTTTTCCCAGGGGGGTTATGCAAATGGAGGCTTGCCAGGCTTTTTGCCCAGGTGAAATTGGACTGTTGCGAACAACTGCGTGCAACGCCACAGTTTGCCGAGAGTGCTGAACAGTCTGCAGCAAAGAGTGTTAGAAGAGGAGCAACTGGTCAAACAGCAGGGGAAATACACTGATAGCGCATCCCATCCATTTGCTAAATAACACGTGTTTGTTGTGTTGCCCTTTTGGGTTGCCTATGTTCCCTGTTGACCAGGGACACGAGTTGACTAGGTGTACGTCTGGCCAAGCGGGGCGCATAGCCCTATGGAGGTTCCTTCCTTTGAGTGTCCTTGGGCTGCTTTTAAGAAGGGAAGCAACAAAAGGAAGCTATTCACATTTCTCTCCATGGGCTAACTTGCTGTAATATTCTCCAACAACCCTAGTCGTTTTATTTGGACCTTTATGCTGTAATATTGCAAGTGAGGCAACAAGAACCTCTAGCTTACCTCTTGTTCTTTCTTTTCGTTGGTTGGCTTACTTGATTTTCCCATAATTTGTTATCTCTTGTGCGCTTCTTCGTGCGGTTGGTTTACTTGCACCCCAATGAAAACAATGGATGACCCAATCTGCATGATGACCATTTTTAGGTCAACAGTGGTTGTTAAACCAGCCCCATGGTTTTCATGATGGTTTGAACCCCAGCAGCACCTGTTGGATCCATGGGTGTTTCGCCCTCCGTACCGAGCCTTTTCGACGAGCGACCGGCGAGTCGCTCACTTGTCGCTCGCTCGAGTCGCTCACTCGTCGCTGGCTTGTCAAGTCAAGTCCAAGGCACGTAGCAGCCGCGAGGAATGGCTGGGTGCGCTGCAGATGGTGAAGAGCCGCCTTGCCAAGGCTTCCAAGGCACGGCGTCGATGATGTTGACACCAATCAACCCCAGTGCGCTAATAGGGGCCAGCTTTTTGGCCCCCAAATTTCACCCAGGGATACCCCCCCTCTTACTAAACGGGGGTTGATGAGTATGGGGCCAACATTACCCCACTTCCACTTGCCGACATGAAGGTGTTTTCCCTGCTGCTGCTTTTACGGGAATCTGTCAATGGGCCATGTTGAGTTGGCATTTGTTGGAAAGCCCTTCTTCTACCATTAGCTTAAAACTCTATGTTCTTCCGGTGAACGAAATCTATCACCACTGGACATGTCACTGTTTTCATGTGGTGTTGGGTATTTTTTGGAAAGGCCTGGTGGAAGCCATGATAAATGCCGATCTCGTTTTTGGTACCGAGTTGACATGATACCGACTGAGACTAGCTTGGCTCGAAGACCTCTCGTCGAGCTTGGCTCGAGCACGAGGTCGAGCACTGTTCAGGTACCGTTAAAGGGCCACCTCTTTTTTTTGTTCGTGAGGACTACCAAAAAACGTGTCTTCCCACTGCCGCTAGAGGTCTGGGAATTGACAAAACAATGACAAAAGGAGGCTGGACACTCTTGTGTTGGTGTACTTTGCTCTGAAACAAGCAGGGGTACTACAAACTCGTGGTATTTAGTTCGCTTCTCACTTGCCCAAAGCAAATCGACCTTTGCACCTCTTGGCATACCAAAAGGCAGCACCCCCACCTCCCAACCTCTGCTTTCTTGACCATTACCAAGCAGATTTTCGACCTGGTTGAAAAGGGCTGTGGCCAGCCAAAAATGACAAAAACACATGGGCTGCAAAGCAGATGTTAACTTACTTCAACCTTCGATCAACCCAACTTTGTTCTTCTTTCCTTTTCCTGGCCGCAAGGCATCTGCTATTGGGTTGGACTTTTTGCTTAACCTTTTTGGGAAATCAAGGGGTTTGCCACTAAACCCACAACCAGTACACTTTTTGTTGCAGAGGGGTCCTTGCAGCAACCCAGATTTTCTTTAGACTTTTCATGTTCCTTTTCACTTGGTTGCTGTTGACCCCCCTGCAAAAAGTTTATCTTTTTGGGGGCTCATTAGAAAACGCCTTTATTTCAACCAAAAAGTTAAAGTCTAAAGATCCGTTGCCCAATAGCAGTGAAGTCAACAGCACTTTGTGCGGGCACGCCTTAGGGTTCCCGGAGATGCAGGAGATGCGTAGTCATGATTATCAGCAAAACCTTCTTCTTCCACGCGCCTAAGAGGATCCATGCACGCCAAAAACTCCTCGAAAACGAATTCCTCTAGGGCTATTTGAGCTCCAATCTTGAACAAAGAAAGGTTTCCACTGCAAAGAAAACAGGGCGAAGATACATCCACTGGAGGCATCCAAACTCGAAAAGATTCCCGCGCCAGGCTCCCTTCCTGCTGAAGGCTTCGAACCAGCAGTCCGCGGCCTTGCGGTTCCTGCCCTGCTGGGAGGAGGCCTTGCTCTTCGAGCGGCCTCGGCTAAAAAAAAAGTCGGCCGGGGGTGGGGCGAGGACGGGGTGGTGGTCCCTCGGTTTTGGGGGGCGGTTTTCTCGCTGTTCCCCTGCTTCTTGTCGGGTATGATGTCATATGATGTCGTTCCGGTACCAAAAAACAAAAAACATTTACCATGGAAAGCCAGGGCGTTCCCCCAAACGTAGCCTGATTGAAGTCTTTTCTTGGTGGAGTAGAGGGATAGATGCGGGTTGGAAGGGAGCCAAAGAGCTGGGGGCATCCCAATTTGCAACCCCAAAAGCGGAGCCAAGGGAAGAGCCATCTTAGGGGAGGAGGGTCCACCTCTCTGTTACAAGCGTCGGTATAGAAGCAGCCTCTCTCCCCCATGTTTGGGCATGCCCTTGGACAGTGCTGTGAATCTTTGAGCCCTTGACCTTCAGTGGCGCGATTCCCAAGGAACTGCCAAAGCAACGCAAAGAAAGGATTGCCATGTTCCCTACCTTTGGCTACCCCGATTTCGGGGAGCACGGAATAAGCAGAGGTCGCGCAGATTTGTCCAAACGCCCCTCTTTGGTTGGGCGGCCTTTCGTTTTGAAACAAAAACAGCAGGTAGGCTCAGAAACGAGACGCACCAACACAAAGTCTGGCAACACGACGTTTTTTCGGGGTGGCTTTGCTTTGTGGCCGGTGTTTTTCATTTGAGTAACTGGTATGCAAATGTTGGGGGGACGCCTTTGCGGGTTATCCGTCAGCCGATAGAATTTGGTAGGGCCAAAGAGTTTGAGTGTTTTCCTCAGAAACCACAGGAGCTATTGCAATTTGACTTGTGACTCATATTAGGGGGCCATTAAGGATGGGGCATAACCCTACGGCGAGTTTTGCAACTGCTCTGCTCCATGTTGGAATCCTACGCTGATTCAGAGCCATAGCCTTTGAGAGGAATGGGAGAATGGGTTCCTAGCACTGTTAAGAACCTAGGATTCAGGAACCCTGGCAACACCCTTTGGACTTGGGACGGGAAAAGCGGTTGTTGGGGGGGGGTGCTGGGTGATCAAGACAGGAGGGGCTGGCCCATCCAAGCGACACGGGGTGAAGGGGACACCCCCTTCATCCAGGATGATGAATCCTCGGTCACTGGGGCTGCCAGTTGGCCACTGGCAGGGGAACCAACGGAGTCATCGCACACTTATGGGCTTCACTAAGCCAGGCGTTACCACGCGCAAATCTTCGATGACCTTGTCCTCCAGCTACCCATATAGTTGGGTTTATTGCCCCCATATTATAGTTTCCACTCTTGTCCAACCACTTTACCCACTATTAGCCCATAATTTTAGCGAAAATGGCTAGAAAATGAAGGCATTGCTGGGGATCCAGGTGGAGGCAAAGGTACGTGCGCTACGTGTTTGTTCGGACGCACCTCGGCGTGGCAATTTTCAGCCCAAGGAACTTCGACTCGCCTCAGAGCCTCGATGCCTGGCGCGGGGATTGCGGGCTGCGGCGTTGGTCCGGCCGCCCCCACGCCGCCCAGGCTGATGGCCGTGCGACTGCGTGGGTTGAGTAAGGGCTTTGGATGTGGCTTGACTGCTATTGGGTTGGATCTCTAGACTTTATCTTTTTGGTTGAAATCAAGTTGGGTCTTCCACTAAACCCACAAGAAGTTAAGCTTTTTGCAGAGAGATCAGCAGCACTCAAGGCAGGCGGCGTTTTGCGGGTGCCAAAAAAGTAGGGGGCGTTTTGGCGCAAACCTTGTGGGCCCCTTTAAAGTCGTATTGGCTGGCAATCGGGGGAACTGGACAGTCTTTATTGAGGGAGGGTTTTTATAAATCAGGTCAACATGGCCGAGCGACGAGAGACCGCGCGATTGTGGCCAACTGTTATATACCTACATGCCGTGTGTGGATGAATCCACTCATGAACTGAGTGCCTGGACCCTCAACCCAACTTTAAAAGATCAACAAGCACACCATTTGTTTGGGTAGGAAACCCATTTGTAAGGGTACCTGAGTATGCGAAAACAAATCATTTTTGGAGCCACTGTGCTTATTCTGGCGTATGACCGTTTTTCCCAGCCACAAAGCCGAACACCCCAAAATAGAAGAAGCTAAGCCCGAAACCCGTAATGGCGTTTCCGTTTGTTTTGGACAAGGCCCTATGATCAACAATAAGTAGGCTGCGTCCTCCAAGGACCCGCAAAAGAGAAGGGTCCATCTTAATGCCTGACTGAAATAAAGGTGTTTTCCACTGAGCCCCCCAAAAGTTAAACTTTTTGCAGGGGGGTCAACAGCAACCAAAAATGTTGCTTTTAGTTGAACCTGCTTTCTCAGGCCCTGGGAGATCAAGGTGTTTGCGTATGCAGGTACCCCCTACACCCAATGCCTACCTTTTTCAGGGTATAATGTCGGTCCTCTACGAAAGGAGGTATTTACCTTGGAAAACCGATCGAACTTCCCAAACATACCAACTGAAAAAAGGGGTATTTGGAGTAGGGGGTAGTTCTTGCAGGTCCAGGTTTGCGAATTGTCGAGATCCCTTCGATTCAATCCCGGGTTTTTGGTAGGCGCCGGTGAGCCTCTGGTGCGTGACTCTGCCGCCCAGAGGTGATGAGGAGGCAGGGCTAGGCTGCTTGTGTGGTGGGACTTCCACTTACTCTTTGGTGTATTTTGCTTGGATGTTAGGACTTCAACTCTTTGATCCAACTAATGGGTTTTCCAAAGTTTTCCACTAAGCCACTAAAAGTGATTCACTTTTAGCAGGGGAGCAGATTTCGCCACCGAGTTCTTACTCCCCAGCAGCTGGGTGTGACCTCTTTTTTTTTTCAGGGAAAGGAGCCAAAGGGTGCAAGTCTGCAACTCTGGCAAGCCCCCCCCCTTTTGCGTGTGAGGAGAGCGGGCCACGGGTAGGATGGTCAAGCCAACGTCTTGGAACATCAGACAGAACAGTACTTGGTGGCTTGAGAGCCGTCCGGTCCATTCGGCGTTTTAGCTTTGTAGGTTAAGTGGGGGTTTCCATTTCACCCACCAAACAGTTAAACTTTGAGCAGGGGATCCGTAGCTTTGGAGGGGAATGCCGGCTACGGCTCCGAGAAGAGGCCGTTACGAAGCAGGCAACAGGTTGTCCAACAAACTTCACCTCCTCGCAAGTCACATCGCCCCTTTGACCCACCCCTGTGGCGCTTACGGATCTGCCACCTAGATCCCCAGCAAGCCAGCTATGAGTGGGTAGTTCCAGTGGCTGGAAAGAAGTGTAGCTACTTAGGGGTTCCAGGTGCTTAGCCGGAGTTCCAAATTTTGGCAGGAGCTTCCGGCCGACTGTTGTTGTCAGTCAACTCAGGGCGAATCGGGCGCACAGACCGTGTCCTCTAGAACTATGGATATATATATATATAAGGGTAGACCAAAAATGAGACAGAGTCAGGACACAGGTGTTTCTTTTTCTCTGCGTTCTCCTGATTTCGCTCCACTCAATGGGCTCCCTACACTCAGAGAGTTGTTTCGTTGAGTTGGTACCCTTTTCAGCTGGTGTTTTTCAGCCAACCCTAAGCCTTCAATGCCTTGGTCTTCAAAGGACCTTCTGGTTTCCTCTTGACTTGAAATGGAGGATCAGCCAAAACAACTCGTCCAGTAGTGAAATTGATTCCCTTTAAAACCAACAAGGGACAATAACACAAATTATTCATTTCAACGGCAAATGGAAGAATGGTACCCCTGGCTTTTTCTGCGTATTTGTTTGGGTCTGGATGGCCAGCTGCGATCGCTTTTTTCCATGAACTTTCCCCCAAACACCCGATCGCAACAGTGACTGGAAAAAGAAAGCAGCAACTTGGCGATCTGGGAAGGATTCCTTCGCTCCAATGACTTCCCCCGACGGCAGGAGTGCAACGCGCCCCGCGTCTTGCAGCGGGTCCTCCCCGACGCCTCTGTCTCCTTGGTGGCCTTCCGGGCCATGTGCCGCTGCACCGCCCGGCGCCGCCGGGCTCCGAAAAGAACAAAACGCAGTCACGTGCTACTTCCGCCAACTCGGGTCGATCCAAGATCATCCAAGGTCCAAAAAGTAATTCATTGTTTTTGTTTTTGTGTGCCTGGAGTCTCCATGACCCTGCAAAAATGGGGTCATTGCCCAAACTATTGGGGTCATGGACCCATTTGTAAAGGGTCATGGAGACTCCAGGTGGTTTGTACTTCTTCGTTGTTTTGTTCTTGCTTTTTTTGTCCGGATCCCCCCTTTCTGGGGTCATGATATTGCTCAGTTCCTGAGTTCCGTTTCGGACTTCCGACACTTTTTGGGGGCTGGTTGGGCAACGGACTGTTTGGACATGTTTTTTGCCAATCCACAGGAAGTGAGTAACAGCCATACCCTCAAACTGTCCTTCAAAACGTGATCTTGCCCCAATATGTATGGCTCAAAAGTAAAAGCAAGCCACCAGACGGGTGTGAGTCCTTTGCATTTGGGGTTCAATTTCAGGGTTACCCTCACCTTTTCACAGCCGGATCCGAAGGAAAATGGTCCAAACCAGGACCCCCCTCAAATTTGTCGAGTTCCATGTTGGTTGGAGGGTAATGGCTAGTAACACACAAGTGTGGATACTTTCGCCAGGCCACTCAGGAAGTGTGTAGCCTTGAAAACCCCGCGCAGGGGTCCCAAGCAAAGCATGTCTCTGAGGATCATGTGAGGGTCCAGGTGTATCGGGACTCGTATCCTTTGGCACCCAGTACATTACCACACGCTCAGATGTTGGTGTGTTTGGGTTGGCGAGCTTGAGAACCAGAGGAACACCACCACTTTGGGAGTCCCCGTTTTTGACAGGCGCTGGTCATGTTTTTTGGGGGGTTGGGAGGTGTTGTTTTTTTTGTTTTGGTGCCATTTCCTGCAGTACAAGGCCTGCGGGCGGGCGGCATTTTCTCGCTGCTGGGCGCCTACCAGTGCGAGCCTCAGAGTTGCCTTGCTTGGGGTCGGCCCCAGAATTTGCCCCGAAGGAACCAACACGACATGCACCAAACGGACCCTGAAATGACCCGTAAACAAGGGGAACCACCCATCATTTGAGGGCATCCATGGGGTTGGGGAGATACTCCAGGTAGTTGTAGACCATGTAATACCATGTATAGATGTTGCAGACAGAGGTCGGGCTACACATTCAGGTGCACGACATTTACCCATCACAACGCGAGATTTGTGCTTGAAAAGGTGCATCTGGGTCTGTGTTGGCACCATCTTTGTTGACTGCCGATTTCCATCGAGAAGGACATGCGCCATGCGTCCCTGCACGGGGCACATTGCCTATTGTAGGCATCTTTTAGCAGAATGCTACCAGGTTACAAATAACCCATTATAATCCATAGGCATGTTGTTACCATAGTTGACGAACCCCCCCCAGTCAGACAAGTTACACATAAGCCGATCCAGGACCTTTCCAGGCAGTGAGCTGGTTCCGTCGCACCTGCCTCGCGCGGTCAGCTTGACTGCTATTGGGTTGGATCTTTAGACTTTAACTTTTTGGGAAATCAAGGTGTTTTCCACTGAGCCCCCCAAAAGTTAGAAACGTTAAACCTTTAGGGGGGTCAACAGAAACCAAGTCAGGTGCGACGTTTTCAGCCTTTACTTCACCTTCGACTCGAGCGGCCGCACCATCTTCGCCGGGGACGGCGGGTCCAATGACGAGGCCGAAGATCGCCTCGCAAAGAAGTGAAAGTTCTCTGCGGAACACTTCTCTGGACCCGAGAAAATGGGCGTGTCCTCCTTTTTGAGGCTCTGAAAATTATTGTTTGTTAATCCATGTTGTTTGTCCCGGAAAAAAAGACATCCCAAATAGGTTATTGCCCTAAAATTATGGGGTGGTTGCCCTTTTTCGCACATAGAACACCTGCGGAGTTGATATGAAACCCCAAAAGGGCCCAAACGACGGCTCCCGTGAAAATTCGGTTGTCTGGGGTCCACGTGAGCCGTCTTGGTTTGATATGCCTGGAGTCCCCATGACCCTGCAAAAATGTGGTCATTACCCAAAATAATGGGGTCATGGACCCATTTTTAAAGGGTCATGGAGACTCCAGGTGAGAACATGAGTAATTAGACATTTAGGTTCCTGCATTCCAAGCGCTGTCTCCAGAATGACAGCTCGAGTGCATCGACCTCTGAGCCCGTGACCATTTTGGGGTTTGGTGGCTGCCGTCCCGTACGGCCGGAATCGAGGGGTTCGGCAACCAAGAAACTAGACCTTCATACCCAGGGTTTCAAAGCACACCCTCTATCCGACAATCATGGAAGTGGAAAATCCGGGACTTCCTCAAAAGGAAAGTAGTCTTCCACCCCCCCCTTTCGGCTTACATGATGGGAGGGAGGGTTGCGTTGTTTCCCACCTCGCTGGCTTTTTGGCGTGGTTCAAGGGGTGCATTCAGCCCTTGAAGTCCCAGCCAGCGAATGGATGGCGAAACCCGGAAGGGCGGACCTTTTCTCCTGTGGCAGGTCCTCTCAACTCAGGGTGCCAACAACACCCCGCCATCCCGCCATCCCCCAAAGAAACATGGAACCCATGGAAAGATGTTTCGCAAATTTCTGGGGCCACTGCTTTTGGGGCCCAGGGATCCCCACAAAAAGGGTCGCACTCTCCGATGTGTTCAGCTCCTTCCAGCGGGCGGTTTGGAGGGATTTGGAGTTTGAAGCCCTGGTTTTTGTAGAGGGCAAATGGGAAAACTTACCCCCGGAACACCTCCCAAGCATTCCAAACCAATGAGAGGGAAGCTGATTCATTGGAGCTTTGGATTGGTTTGCATTTCCCGGGAAGCTGACGTTAGGCGCTCGGGCGATGGGAAGACCAGCAATGGTACGAATTCGTGATGCACTTCAACTGGTCCAAGGGAGAGGTCTGCTGCGTGGGATGTGGGGACGTGGGGGGGGGTGAGGATTTTTGACACGCAATAAGAATCGAAGGGTGCTTTAGACGGCATACTGCCCTGGAGATGTCATGTCTCAGTGACCGAGTTTCCAGGCCCACAAGTTCTATGACATTTTTTGGGAGTATAAGGGGACCCTTTGATTAACGAGAAGCCCGGATTACAAAATCTTGGTTGATTTTGATCAGGGGGTGTCCCCTCTTGGTGGTTCTTCAGGCCACTTTTGGAGGGAACAACCGCGCTACGAAGCCTCAAGATGGAGACGAGCTTGTTCGAGCAGCCAGGAAGGCCCCATGCTTGGGGATGTCTTTTTTCCCGCCCGGTAGCAGACCTCTTGGCCAGAATCAGGGTTGTGGGATCAAGGGATTCATCCCCACTTCAGTGATACAAGGGAATCCCCATTTTGTTTTATGGGGGGTCAGTCTTTGGGAGGCCCTTTTTTGTTGTATCCCAGAAGTGGAATCCATTTCCCACAGCCCCACAGGCTGAACCAACCAGTTTGCAGAACTCAGCTTGTTTTGCCTGCTTCCCAACAAGAGACAACCCTGTTGCTACTGGCAACGTCTGGTTTCTGTTCACCGAGGTGCTCATGTGGGCGGCGTTTGTCTCGTGAAGAACACGAGACATCCGATGTCAAGTGACATCTCTGGACCCTCGAAGCCTGAAAGGGAACCAACCATCAAGCTTAGCACAAGTTTTGGGGTAGGCCCGAACTCTCCTGAAATCAATCATATATATATAGTGGCTTTTTTTTGGGGGGGGCTTAGGTGTGATCCACCAATATTTCTCCGGGAACATGGAATCCGTGGAATCCACCTGTGTGATGCCACAGGCAAGCAATCTTCCGGCCAGTTTGCAAAAGCTTTCATTCTAGGATTCACCCCCCATCTCCTGTTGGGGATCCAATTCTGGAACTGGAGAATACCAGCTGATCTTTTCTCTTGACCCAAGGTGCTCTGTTCCAAACAGAACCTAAACGTACGAAGAAGTACTTCCCAAAGTTCTCTACTTCCTCCCCAAAAAAGGCATGGGCATGTTCCCCACGTTTTCCCGACTCTTGATTTAGAAAGCACGCAGAGTATGTGTCATTTCCTCCTGGTTCTGACGCGAATCTATCACTGCTGGACATAGTCTCGTTTTTCAGGGCGCGAAAAGGTGGGTGGTTTAGCCCTACCTACGGTTTTATGTTTGTAAAAGAATCCTTCATTAGCTGCCCCCTACCTTTCCTTCTGGGGTGAAACGAAATGACCGTTGAGCACAGTTCGCCCAAATGTTCGGGCGCCGTTCCCTAAGATGCCCGAAGGCCCTGCACCCAATACCCACTTTTCTTTTCTTTTTCAGGTTGAAATGTCAATGCTGGTAAAAAAAGGGCTTTGCCGAAAGTACCAACTAAAAACAGAGGGTATTCATAGAAGCGCCCGGAAATCCGAAAAGAAAAGGAGAAGAAAAAGGAAGTGGTTGTTAATCTAACTTCTCAAGGTTTACTTGAGCGATGCTTGACTGCTATTGGGTTGGATCTTTAGACTCTAACTTTTGAGAAATCAAGTTGGGTTTTCCACTAAACCCACAAATAGTTGTTCACGCACTGTTCGCAGGGGGCTCGGTCAACAGCAACCAAGAAACATAGTTGTTGCTGGGAAATATTTTGCATTTTTGCTTATTGTTGCTTAGTGTTTGAAATCCAACCACTTAACTGCTAAAATTTAACTTGTTGCTCCCCTGCCAACATCAACCATAAGAATAGCTATGAAGACCTGTGACCCCCCAAAGACCACTGCATCAACTGAAAACACTGTATCATCTGAAAATACGTAAAGTTAAGTTGTTCTTCCACTGTATCCGCTGAAAAGGACTAGGCGCCCCCCGTCGTCAGGTCTACGTCCGGCACGGCATGGATGGCAGGTGCCTCTCAGGCCGCATCGCCCCGAAACCAAAAGCAAGGAATTGGGAGCAGGGGGGGGGGATTTTGTTTGCCCCATATTTACATATATTTACACCAAAATGCCATTAGTTTACCATATTTACCCAAAACAGCTGCACATGATGTTACCATATTTACCCAAAGAGATTGCAGAAGGTGGGACAGAGAAGGGGGGCGGATCTTTGTTTTGCAAATATTTACCCCAAAAAGATGCCATTATTTTACCATAGTTACCCAAAAGCTGAGAAGAGAAGGTGGGGCAGTCCAGTCTATACCTCTTTTTTGGGGTCTTTTTGCGCTCGGAAGCCTTGGAGCAAGTTTGTATAGCTGAGGTTTCTTTTCCCAGCGAACTCCCTTGGACTTAACCTCACTCCCTGTGCTCCTGGACGTGAAACTGTTAGTGGTGTCAGGCTCTTTGGTATGTGCATTGGAAGTGTCCTGCATTGGATGTGCATCGCACAGGTCCTGCCTACATTCTGCAGATAGGGATCCTTAGAAAACTTCCGGAAACCCAGGCAAGTTGCTTGTTCTTTCCGAACTATACTAACCTAATTGGTGGTTTGGATTGGTGGTTTGGGGATTTGAACTCCTGCTTCTCGTAGAGGGTAAATGGGACACCCCTGCCTAACCACCACCAATCCAAACCACCAAATAGAGAGAAACTGATACACTGACAAAAGCTTGCTATGAATGGGACGTCCCACCCCTACCTGGATCCCCAGTTGCCCTTATTTTCCACTTACCTCTTAAAAACACAACTTTTCAACTTTTTGGGTAACATGGGCTTCTTCTGTCTGTAAAAGATTAGCTTCCCCAGGTTGCTTGGAGTTTTAAGGGGTAAGTCCAGCTGTTGCCAAATCATGGGCTAGTGGTGGGTAAAGTGGCTGGACAAAAAGTGGCTACTTGGATCCGGATCCACGTCACGAGCTCGACGGAAGCGAGTGACTCCAAATTGGAACGCCAGGATGCCGAGTTCCACTCGCCTGGTGACTGGGCAGCACTGAGAAGATGTGACCGCAAACCTCCCGAGATATCTGCCAAAGTGGGCGGTTTTCCTGGTGGACTTCCTTCCAAAGCCACAAAACGAGTAATTGAAGTCTCCATGTCCCTTTAAAAATGGGTCAATGTTCCCATTTCTGGGGTAATGACCACATTCTTTGAGGGTCATGGAGGTTCCAGGTGTTTGTTTTTTCTTCTTTCTTTTTCTTTTTCTTTTTTTCGTTCTGTTTATGTTTGAGGTTTGGGGCTGCAAAAAACAAGGTCTGTTTTTTGCAAGCCCATATGGTGTGGGTTGCATGGGCGACATCCTTGGATTTGGATTTGGATCTGAAGCCTTGGTGCTTGTGGGTAGGTTGGAAACCACCTCCGAGCCCCAAACCAAACCAACCCAAAACCCCCACAAAACCAACGCAACGGCCAAACCAACCCAACCCAATCCAAACCACACCACACCAAACCAATCCAAACTAAACCAAACCACACCAAACCAAACCAACCCAATCCAAACTAAACCAACCCAAACCAAACCAAACCCAGCTCCAAAATTTGTGCGCCTAGGCCGGTGGGCGGCCTCAGCGGAGTGAAGCTATGGCACATGTCTCACGGATTTGAAGCGTCATGGACGGACCTCCTGGTGCTTTGATGTCGGGCCCTTGAGGGCCCAAGTGGGCTGAAAAAACCACCCCGCACCTTTTCGTCATGTAAGGGGCCGTTCCTGAACTTGTGTTGTGGGCGAAAAAGCACTGTGAACGGACACAAGGGGAAAAACCGAGACCCCCACTTAGTGTCACCTTCGGCAAGTGTCACGGTTTCTTGTCCCTAGGTTTTTGGACCCTTTTCTTATAAAGGCCCAGCGCCAAAGACCCCAAATGATTAATCGGTCTTGGGACCCTAGGGCGTGGTGTCAAAGAACATCTGAGGTACCTGGATCGCCAAAACGCGATCGCTTTCAGTCACTGTTGCGATCGGCTTTTGGGCTAAAGCTCATGGACAAAAAGCGAAAAAGCAGAAACTGGCGATCCAGGCAGTTTTATCTTCATTTCACCGGACGCCGCAAGTGGCGATCCGCGCTTGGAGGGGGGCGGAACTCGCGGAACCGCCGCGCGCGGTGGCCAAAAAGCGCCGAAGGGAGGTGGAAGTTTTTTCCGGGATGGGCCGGAAATCTGACCTTCGACGTTTGCCTCTTAAAAACACACCACTTTTCTCAACTTGTTGGGGGCAACATGGGCTTCTTCTGTCTGTAAAAGATGAGAACTTCCCCAGGTTGCTGGGAGTTTTAAGGGGTGAGCTTTTGTTTGCCTGGTTGAGTATGAAACTATTGGCCTGCAAAATGCGATCTCACCTCTTTACTTGCAGTCCAAACTGGGGCAAGTTGCACATTCGCATGTCAACTTTGTGGGGTTGTCTCCATTACTTCAGGAGTTCATGGACTTTCTACTCTTTGGGCTTGGACCAATTCAGTGGTGAACAAAAAGTTCATGGGTTGTTAATTGCACCATCCACTCGATCGGAAGCGAGAGTATTGCATATGTTGCATCAATATATTATTCTTATTTTGGGGGGGTGCTCAGTCATCAACGGATAAGTGAAGCTTCGGGAGGGGCGCCGATGTATGACGGCAGCGACGAATCTGACTTTCCGAAAGGTCACAAGGGTTGGGGTGTTGAGCCATCCGGTTCCTTGGCTTTTGTTAGCTCCTTTTAGTGTTTGGTGGTTGGCTTTCCAGGCGGTTCCTTCCTGGATCGCCAGTTGCGATCGCTTTTTTCCATGAACTTTACCCCAAACACCGGCAACAGTGATTGAACAAAGACAGCAACTTGGCTATCTAGGTTGGTTGTTTTTTTTTGCCTTTTTTAGCGTTTAGTGGTTGATGTTCATGCGGTGCCTTGGCTTTTCTCTTCAGTGTTTTTAGTGTTTGGTGGGTTGGATCTCCGCATTTGAATCACCAAAAGTCGAACTTTCAGTAGGGGATTTGAGGGCAGCCCAGAAAAGAGGACACGGCTCGAGCGGCCGCATATTCTAAGGTCCACGGGTACAAGGCTAGCTAAATCTTCGTGGGGAAATTTGATCCGTTTCAGGGGCATGCCGCGAAGAAGTCTGGAGTGGAAATCACCGCGGCACAGGCTCAAGCAGGTGTGCGCTTGAAACAAGAAGGCACCCCCTGCTTTGCGCACATCATGTTCTCTCGGAGCCGCAAAGCGACCTCCGAGACCGAAGCGAAGAAGGAGACGAAGGCGGAGGCGAAGGCGAAGACGCAGAAGCAGTTTGATAATGAGGCGCAGTGTTTTTCTTTTTCGCCGGGAAGCAGGAAACACTGCTGGTCACCCAAGGCAACTGCTTTGCTTGGCAGTGTTGAACCTGTTATCTGGCCCCCAGTTGCCTGTGTTTTCCAGACACTTTTGCCGGTTTATGGGCTACTAGTGGGTAAAGTGGCTGGAAAAAGGTGGCTACTTGGGGATCCAGTTCAGGTAGGCTTTTTGCACGCCCAAGGAGCCACCCACAGCCTTCACCGTACGAAAAGCCAGTCACCAGACCGATTCCTAGATGGCCGTGATCCGACTGCGACCCTGCCCAAGCCATAGTCTAACTGCTGGACCCTCAAACTTGGTTATTGCCCCAAAAACAGATAGGGGGTAAATTCCCCCTGTTGCTGGGTAGTTTGAGGATCCAGGTGTATCTTGGATCGCGATCCGGGCGCGATCCGGGCCTGCCCATTTGCGCATGTAAGAATGCCGGAGTGGACGCATGCACTGCCCCGTCATGCCGCATTCCGGGCGCGTTTTTTCGCACATTGACCGCCGCCTCAGGCAAGTAGTTGGGGTTGGGCTTGTGAAAGAGAGCAGCCCTGCAACCCAGGTTCATTCACTGCCGTTTTCTTGATTTTCGCTGCGACATGTTTTATGCACAATCTTGAGTCGCCCCCACACCCCGCTTTGATGTAGAGTTTCCAGCATCTCCCTGCAACGTGCTCAAGGCTAAGTGTGCGCAAGGCTTGGTGGCACGGCCCGCTTAGCTACATGGCAGCTCACGCTTAAGAAGTGGCTCCGCATCAGGCCCAACACAGGAGTTGTACTAGGTCCGCAAGTTGTGCCCTTTAACCCTTGTTTTCGGGGAGGGTTCCCCTACTAAAATAGACTACAGAAAAAGAGAGTACCCTTATTCTAACCTCAGGACCTAGTTTTAGGAAACCAGCAGATGAATGCCAAAGCCCAAGCCTTCGCTAGGGCAGCGTGCCACATTGCCCTAGCGATGGTAGGCTGAAAGCAAGCCGTCGCAAACATTCTAACATTATCTTCATGTCCAGTGCCAACTGATCTTCAGCTGCAGCAGGCTTCTCCTTGCATCCTGACAAAGCTTTTTCAGATTTTGGCCAATCGACCAGCAAGTGCCCTCCCACCAATTAACATGGAAGCTGACAGGCTGTCGATCCATTTAACAGGAAAGTAGTCTTTCAGGACCCTCTGACCCTGTAAGTGAGACTCAAAATTGGGCTCGGCTGTGCTCTCTAGCAAAGATCTTGCTCATGCTTCAAGGCTTGCTATGGAACATAGCTTGAATTCGTTGCTTGGGGTTGGGCCCTTGGCCAGGTAACCCTGAATTGCTGATTTGGATGTTCGGTTTGCGTAAAGAAACCCCTGGTTGTGCAGGGATGGGAAGCTACGCCGGTGATCTTCCATTGGATTTGTTGTCCCGGTGGAGTGGAAACGGGCCCAGATGTCAGATGCAAGCCACGGCCCCGTTTGGGCCGGGGTACGTCAGGTAAGCGGTTAGCAAGCCTGATTATAGCCCACTAAACAGAGACTTGCTTTGCGGGTCAGAACCATGGTTATTATTTACCCACTTACGAGGTACCCGTTCGCCCCTTTGAGTATACCCGCTTTTCCTACCCTTAGAAACTCACTCCCTGGACACAAGAGGTCCTTGGACTTTTCCTGGCCACGCCACTCGATCGGAAGTGAGTTGAAATCGGAGTATTGCATACATGCGACGTGACAATTCCCTCCATGGGTATTTTGGAGGGTCCCATCCATTGTCCTTTTGAAAAAGAGCACGTGCCAGCAAAGCCGACCGGATCAAAGACCGGTGAATGACTTTCCCCTTTTCGACGTAAAATCACCGCGGCCGTTTCCGACAATTCGACAATTGGGGAGTGTCTTTTCGGATTTGGGCTCCCCAAAAAAAGTCCCTGGGTTTCCCCCGGCCGTTTCCATCTGAGCGTCCAAGACCTCCTTGTACATGTTTAGTAAGAGTCATGTCATATCGACCAGCGCGGAAGAAAATAATACGCACGTAAGGTGGCGTAAGCTGGCGGCGTAAGCAAAACCTGCAAATGTGTCGCGTAAGCCCAAACTCCACACGCGTAAGGTTGCGTAAGCTGGTGGCATAAGCAGAATGATACGACATAGCAAATCATGACACGTTTAGGACATGGCTCATCTACACCCACATTCCACAAAGTACCGAGCCTCAAACTTCCATTGGCCGATTTTTGTTTTCCACTGTTGGATTTGAAGGGAATCAATTTCACTATACTAGAAACTTGTGTTTCTCCTTGGCCGATTTCAGATGGAGGGAATGACGCACCCAGTTCGGAAAGCCGGTGAGGGCTCGCACGGGCACAACATCTTCGCGATGCTCATGAATGAGGAGTCGCCCAACTTCGGCATGGACCACTCCACCGAGGACGTCCAGGACACCTGTCGCGTCTTCCCGAAAGAACTGAGCCGCCCATAGAAAAAAGATCGGATTAACCCAGAACTTGGATGTAATCCCCCCTTTTAATGGGCGCCTGGAACCCCAAGTAGCTACTTCCACTTTATCCACTAGTAGCCCATACTTTGGCAAAAGTACCTGGAAAAATAAAGGCAACCGGGGATCCAGGTGGCAGGTGACACCCCAGGCTCCAAAACTGACCCAGAGGACCAGTTCCGCGGGCCCCAGTTTTGCGGCCTGCGTGGGCCAGGTGATTCGCCAAAGCTCTGCTTGAGCAAATGTATACCCCGAAACCAGGCCTTCTTAAGAGAGAGATCGGTATTTTTGCCCTGGATGTTGCTCTTGTTAAGAGAAAAACAGCTAAAGAAAGCGGGGTATTTGGAGTAGGGGGTGGTTGGTTGGATCTTCAACCTTGAGCTTGTGGTTGGAAATGTGACTGGCCCACAATGTCCCTTACCTCCTGAGGAGGTAAGTGCAAAGGCAACCTGTTCACCAGAAGCCATAGCAAACTGCGTGTTTCGAGGAATCCAATCGCCACCAGAAAGAGAAAGGTCAATTTATCCTTTGGAACAAGGGAAGTACATGCCTGGAGCTGAACGGCCGGCCTTGCGATTGCTTCCCGGCTTTGATTCATGTCTAGTTCAGCCTTTCTTTGCTGCTCAATGGGTCCTTAAATCCATTTCGGCTTGCCGGCCAAACCCCGAAAACAGGTGTTCGTTCTACGGTTTTTACGGAAATGCCGCGGTTTGTAGCGAGCTGTGCCTTGGGAGACTCATGAGCACCCGCAAGGCAAGTAGGAAGCCATGAAGCCCCACGGTTTCACATATGGTCAAAAGACTTCCCGGTTGTTTTGCACCATGATTCCCAACGCTATGGCCACGACCAGAGCTGGTGGGGTCCAACATTCAGCCGTTGGTTGCCCTTTCGAGTGGGTTGTTCTTGGTATTTTTCTTGACTGCTATATTAGACTTTATTCTTTGTGAAATAAGTAAATAAATAAATAAATGTGTTTTCCACAACCCCCAAACAGTTAAACTTTTTGCAGGGGGGTCAAGAGCAACCAAGTTTTTGGTGACCGGATGAGGTGTTTTGTTTCCTACTTGGATGCCCAAGCAGCCACTTTTTTCCAGCCACAACCCCACTAGTAGCCCATTGAACGAAAGTGGCCGGAAAATAGTTTGGCCTTGCTGGCGATCCAGGTAGGTCTTCCTTAGGTCAGGTTCCCGGGTTGGTTGGCTGGTTGGCACCTTGGCAACCTGTACTTGGAATGCAAGGCTCACGGCTGTTGCGTTTTTCTGTAGGTAAAGGGCAAGCAAACGAACCCGCCGTTTCACCAAAAAACAACAACAACCCAGAAGACAATCCGGAAACGCCACTTTGGGATGAGGGAATGCAACTCATGAGGCGAACGCTTTTGAGCTTTTGACTTTGGGTTCGTTGTGCTAAAGGTGACCTCCCCCCCATTCTTTTCGAGGCGGGGAGGGGTGACGGTCAGGCCCCATGAACACGTTTGATCCCTAAACTTGCCGGCGTTTTCAATGCTGTGGGACTGGCCTGGCTCTTCAACCTTTTGGCTTCTTGGGGGAAATATGTGTGTGTGGTGCCCACAAACCAACCCAGCGTGCTTCACTTTCGCGGCACTGAAAAGCCAAGCGGATACCCAGGCCCGCTTGGATACGTGCTGCCTCAGAAAATAAGCGGAAAAAACACATGTTTTTAGTGTAGGGTCACTGTAGGGGTGCCCCGCAACGGCACCCCTTTGTTGGGTGTTTGTTTGTTTTTTTGCGAAGCGGCCAGTGGACACTGCCCAAGAAACTGGGTCCCGACCAAGAAACTGGGTCCCGATCTCCCTTTCGGTGCATGGGCACTTCGGGGCGCCCCCGCCCCCCACTTCGGGCGAGCCCAGACCTTTTCACACAGGACAAGGTGAATCGCCTGGAGCGGATTGTGCAGGAGCATTCCCAGGAGGGAAGAATATGGCTCTCGGCGAGTCACTTTCACGTTTTGTCAACCGATCCTCTTCTCACTCTCTGTGTTCCTGGCTTTACTTTTTGGGGAAGGCAGTTTTAGTGGTAACACAGTTTGGCCAATCCACCTGGGAACCAAGTATGGACAACAACTCCAAACACCCGCTTTATACCGTAATTAGATTTCGATCAATCAGGTCCTCCATACCTGCTACACACAATGCCCGTGTTTGTTAGTTGGTCGCTTTGGGAAAACCTGGTTTTGAGGGTAAATACCTCATGCTGCGACTCATGCTTTTAGCCAAGTAGCTTGGTTGCTGCTGACACCGGTCTGCAAAAAACTTGGCCAACTTTCGTGGGTCCAACCGAAAGCCCACAAAGTTTCAAAGAAGCTAAAGTCCAATGATCCCTTGCCAAATAGCCATACAGGTAAACACTGGGTAGCGGAGGGTGCCTCCATATCCAACCGAATAGCCATAAAGAACATTTGCGCTCTATATTTTGCCCAGATACATGGGAAGCTCTGGAGCATTGACTCGCTTCCCGAGTGGGGCGGCCAAGGAAGTAACCAATATGTTTGTTGGCATCTCTCCAAAAAGTCCACGAACTCAGGAAATGAGTTAAGGGAATAAAGGACCAAAGGAACAAACAATTTGCTAGACTGCGAAAGCAACGAGGCAAGGCTTGTTCATCATGGTTGAAGTCGTATATAGTTTGAAGGGGGAACGGGAGATGTTTTGAAAGGTTTGACTTGACCACCCTGCTTCTTTTGGGAAGCTGAAGCAGGCTGTCCATGTTTAAAATAGAAAACAAACTTGCTTTCTTAGTGGGTTGGTCAAGAAGGTTGAGATATTTGCTTTCATTGCCACTCAAATGACCATTCCAAACAACTAGTCCAGAGTCTGCAAGCGGGTTCAATGTAGCAAGCAACCAGGTAATTCCAACACCAACCAAGTCGTCAAGAGGCTTTCTTCAGTCTTTCATTTCGGCGTGGAGTGACGCGAGCTGTTGAAGCGTAATCCTTTGCGGGGATCGTGCGTGTCAACTTCTTTTATTTTCAGTCTGTTGACTTCATGCTGTGGATGGACGAAATCCATTTCGCACCTGGAATGATGATTCCCCTGTAAATGCCAACCAAGAATGGTTTGCTACGGTTTTTTTTCAAGTAGTGCGAAATGGATTTCGTCCATCCACAGTATGGGCTTGAGAAACGGGGTTTTGATATTGCAACCAGTTTCAGGGATCTCCTTGAATGTGAACCAAGCCTGGACCATAACCTAAACATAATATCTGGGTTGGGTGCGAAAGATGAGGTAGGTTGCTTGGATTAGCAGTTCATGGAAACCTTCCCCGTTTGGTTTCAAGAGGAAAGAACAAGAGGAACACCGAAGCCACCAAGAGACACACCCAGGTTTAGGGCACAGAAAGTTGTTGCATTGCGAGGGCCCAAGAAGCGCCTTTGTTTATGGCCATCAGCATGCGTGTGAAAAGAAATGAGCCGCAGAGATTGGTGAACATTGTGCCACAGGGATTGCGGCACTGTGGTGGCAAAATCCGCTTGTCGCACCGTTCAGACACCCTGGAATGATTCGATCCGCGCGTAAAACCAACTGTTTCAACCATGGTTTCCAAGTGGTGCGAGAAGCGGACTTCGTCCAATAGCATGAAACTACTTTGTATGGGTGTCCACCCTATGCATCAGTCCCCAAAAAAAACGGGTTTGCTCAGAAAAGGCAAGTTGCACATCCGATCGAGGAGCCTTGCCCTTGGGTATTTCCAGGTATTGGCTTGGGAAGGTTGGATGCTTACACCAATATGGTATTTATCCCAGATGCCCCCTAGTGGCTCAGAAAACCCTCCAAAACCAATCCCTGGACAAGCTGATCTCACTTGACCTTTTGACCTTCTTTCCCTGATTTCGCCCATATTCAGTCAAGGTTCCAGAAGGTCCAAACTGGGCAAGTGAGCTACTCAAACTGGTTATAACCCTCTTGGGAGACTTAGAGCCATGAATCGCCACTTGGGAGGCTTGGAAGCATGGCTTTTGTGGGGTACAACCAGGTTTACTGACCACTTCATGTTGACCCAGGATGAAGAAACCCGTCCCATGATTAGGGGGGGTGGTCCCTCCAACAGTGGTCTGAATCCCCACAAAAAGGGGACACCCCCCCTATGAATCAACCAGGGGGTTCTTAATCCGGGGTTGACATTACCTGACGTACCGAATCCACCGCTCCTTTTACCCCCGGCCAGGCAGTCCAAAGCACCAAAGCGCGGCACGGCTTGGCCTCAAGCTCCCGCGTTGAGACGCGGCGCACGGAGGAGAGGAAACGGGAGGCCAAGGAGCACAGTGGCTCGGCCGGAGGATTTTTTCCTCGGGGGATACTTAAAGGGGCGAAGGATTTGGTACGTCCCCCAGCTAGGTGCCCTTTCTCACCCGTTTTTGGAGGGTTTTTTTACTAGAATAGACTAAAGGAAAGAAAGGGTACCCTTATTCTAACCTCTCTACTGGAGGACCTAGTCAGGGAAGTGGCTAGTGAGCCTGGTTTTAACCCACTGAACGGAGACCCCCCATGACAACCCAAGAGACACCTGCTGTAGCCCAAAAACAAGGGGGTTTTTGCAACCGACATTTGTGCAGGGAAATTAAGAGCCATTCGTGTGTGTGTGTGTGTGTGTGTGTGTGTGTGTGTGTGTGTGTGTGTGCGCGTGTGTGTGTGTGTGTGGTCTGTGTGTCTGTGTGTCTGTGTGTCTGTGTGTCTGTGTGTCTGTGTGTCTGTGTGTCTGTGTGTCTGTGTGTCTGTGTGTCTGTGTGTCTGTGTGTCTGTGTCCTGTGTGTCTGTGTGTCTGTGTGTCTGCGTGTCTGCGTGTCTGCGTGTCTGTGTGTCTGTGTGTCTGTGTGTCTGTGTGTCGGTGTGTCTGTGTGTCTGTGTGTCTGTGTGTCTGTGTGTCTGTGTGTCTGTGTGTCTGTGTGTCTGTGTGTCTGTGTGTCTGTGTGTCTGTGTGTGCGGAGTGGCAGATTACCCTGCCACCATCCACCTTTTTCCACCGCAGCAGGGGGCTGGAGCCGGCCCGGGGGGTCTCCAGCCAACGAAGACGCCCCCCGGTGTCCGGGTCCAAACGTACCTGCGGGGCTGCGCCTGGGCCATTGTCATGGCAGCTGGCGGGCCCACCCCAAACCAAGGTCCCCTTTTTGCCCTTTTCTCCAAAACCAGCTGAACCCCAGCTGTACTCGAAACTCACCAGTTGTACTCGAACGATGAGTGACTTATCAGTTGTACTCGAGACTCATCAGTTGTACTCGAGACTCATCAGTTGTACTCGAAAGATTAGCACCCTCCATCTGGAGTTTAAGTGTGTACACCCCATTCGTGGGGAATCCTCGGGTGTACCCATTGTGTGACCCCGGGCCGGCTCTGTCGGAAAATTTGACCTCAACGTGCTTATCATAGATCAGCGGAATTTCACATTTAACCAGGAACGAGGTTTCACTAAAGGGGAAGACAGCCACCTCTTCATAGCTACGTTTCACCCTTCGTTCTTTTTTCTCGCATTCGTGTTTACGCGTGCCCGTTTTTTTTTTTTTCTTTTTTTGTTTCCTTTTCTTTTGGTTTTTTTTTCTTTTTTTTTTTATTTTTTTTTTTTCTTCTTTTTCTTTTTTTTTTTTTTTTTTTTTTTTTGTGTTGCCTTCTTTTTTTTTTTCTTTTGTGTTTTTTTTTCTTTTTTTTTTTCTTGTTTTCTCTGTTTTTTTTTTTTTCTTTTTTTTTTCATTTTTTTTGTTTCTTTTTCTTTTTTTTTCTTTTTTTTTTCTGGTTCTTCGCCCGCCTAGGGATGGCTTCTCCTTCCTCCCGTTCTCTTCCTGCTGCCTTTCGTGACCCGCGCGTTCGCCCTCCTCCTGTTCGCCCGCTTAGGGATGGCCTGGTTGTCCTCGCGTTGTTCACCTTTTTCCTCGTCGTCGTCTTCGTGTCCGTCTTCCTGTTCCTACTCCTCTTCTTCCTCACGTAGTTTGGCTTGACGTCTTCTTCCCCTTCCGTTGCTATTTCGTGTTCGTCCTCTTGGCCCCTGTGTGGGATTCGTCGTCTTCCTCCTCGAGCTTTGGACTTCATCCTCTCTTCCTGCCTGGGCGGGATGCGTCGCCCTAACAACGCATACTACTTCCCTCTTCCTTTTCTTTTTCTCCTTTCTCCTCTCCTCGGGCGGGCTGCGGCGCCCTAAATACGCATCTCGCTCCCTTTGTCTTCTTTTCTCTCCTTCTTCTTCTTCTTCTCTCTCCCTTGCGTTCCTTTCTCCTTCCCCCGGGCGGGCTGCGGCGCCCTAAATACGCATCTCGGCCCTTCTCCTCCATTCTCTCTTTCTCTCTTTCTCGCTCTCTCCTTCTTTTCTTCTCCCCTTTCCCTACTACTTCCGGTTGTTCCTCTTCGCCCGTTTAGGGATGGCGTGTTCGTGGTGTCGTTCTTCAACTTCGCGGTGCTCTTTGTCTACAAGGTTTAGGAGGGTTTCTGGACTGTTTGGGGTTCTTTGCCCTCGGCGGTGACCCTAAACTCGGTTTCCCGTTTTTCGTGTTTCTTGGTTGGGGTTTTGCCCGCGGAGACCCAACGTGGGGCCTTTCTGTTCCTTTTGGGTTCTTGCTCCGTTTGTTTTCTGTTGGGGTCTTCGTCCGTCTTTCGGGCGCTTCTTCTTCCCCCCGAAAAAGAGACTTTTCGCCCCTCACTGAGGGGCGTGTGTGTGCGGAGTGGCAGATTACCCTGCCACCATCCACCTTTTTCCACCGCAGCAGGGGGCTGGAGCCGGCCCGGGGGGTCTCCAGCCAACGAAGACGCCCCCCGGTGCCCGGGTCCAAACGTACCTGCAGGGCTGCGCCTGGGCCATTGTCATGGCCACCCCAAACAAAGGTCCCCTTTTTGCCCTTTTCTCCAAAACCAGATGAACCCCAGCTGTACTCGAGACTCACCAGTTGTACTCGAACGATGAGAAACTCATCAGTTGTACTCGAGACTCATCAGTTGTACTCGAGACTCATCAGTTGTACTCGAAAGATTAGCACCCTCCATCTGGAGTTTAAGTGTGTGTGTGTGTGTCTGTCTGTGTGTCTGTGTGTCTGTGTGTCTGTGTGTCTGTGTGTCTGTGTGTCTGTGTGTCTGTGTGTCTGTGTGTCTGTGTGTCTGTGTGTCTGTGTGTCTGTGTGTCTGTGTGTCTGTGTGTCTGTGTGTCTGTGTGTCTGTGTGTCTGTGTGTCTGTGTGTCTGTGTGTCTGTGTGTCTGTGTGTCTGTGTGTCTGTGTGTCTGTGTGTCTGTGTGTCTGTGTGTCTGTGTGTCTGTGTGTCTGTGTGTCTGTGTGTCTGTGTGTCTGTGTGTCTGTGTGTCTGTGTGTGTGTGTGTCTCTCTGTCTGTGTCTCTGTGTGTCTCTCTGTGTCTCTCTGTGTCTCTGTGTCTCTCTGTGTGTGTCTCTCTGTGTCTCTCTGTGTCTCTCTGTGTCTCTCTGTGTCTCTCTGTGTCTCTCTGTGTCTCTCTGTGTCTCTCTGTGTCTCTCTGTGTCTCTCTGTGTCTCTCTGTGTCTCTCTGTGTCTCTCTGTGTCTCTCTGTGTCTCTCTGTGTGTCTCTGTGTGTCTCTGTGTGTCTCTGTGTGTCTCTGTGTGTCTCTGTGTGTCTCTGTGTGTCTCTGTGTGTCTCTGTGTGTTTGTGTCTGTGTTTGTGTCTGTGTTTGTGTCTGTGTCTGTGTCTGTGTCTGTGTCTGCGTCTGTGTGTGTGTTTTTCCAGGGGGCTTCACAAGAATGATTCGGTACCGCCCCGTGTTTGCCAAAGACTCGGCATTTTTGTTTGTTTCTTGTTTTTTGGGTGTTTAGGGTTGAGTAGGATATTCCATTTAGTTTGTTTCGGGACCGCCCCGTTTTTGCCAAAGACTCAGCATTTTTGTTTGTTTCTTTTTTTTGGTGTTTAGGGTTTAGTAGGATATTCCATTTAGTTTGTTTCGGGTGTCAAGGTTTATTAGGGTGTTTCATTTAATCCACTAAAGTTAATTAAGCTTTTAGCTGGAGATTTGAGGGCAGCCCAGATGTTGAAAAACCCTGATTGTCCATGGTAAGTATACCGCCTATTTTAGTTGACATCCTACCCCATCATAGCCTGAAACAAGTGGGTACTATAGGGGGTACACACAATACTAACTTTGTTGAAGGCGTGATAGGGTATGTCAAGCCTTTACTATGTCCAAGGCATGAATTGGTAGATCATCCCTTTGTCAAACCTTGCTGTTCTTGGCAAGTGTTTCGTTGTTTGTTTTGCTTTGTTTTGTTTTTTGTTGTTCTGTTCTTAGAGGGCTGCCACAAAAACAACGTGCTTTGCGACCAAGGGTAGCCAAGAGCGAATCGCTCCTAGCGATTACTGTCCCCATTGTTCTCATGAGTCATGGCCCCAAAAGGTGCGCATTTTTGATCGGGTCAAAGAGCAATACATTCAGGGTCAGCATACCCCCTACTCACAATATCCGCCTTTTTCAGTTGGTATTTTTTTGGAAAATTGATCGGTTTTCCATGGGAAATACCTCCTTTGTTAGTAGAGGCTCGGCATCATACCCTGAAAAAAGATGGTATTTGGAGTAAGGGGTATCATCGTTGTGCGGCTTGGTAAAAGAGATGTTTACCTATATTTCCCAGTCTAAGGTTTGATGGTTCCCTTCTTCTCTTTAGAAGCCACCTATTGTCCAGGATTGGCCCAGCTTAAGTCAAGGATAATTGAAGAGAATGACCAAGGTATAGGTCCCCCAGTAGTGCCCCTTTTCCCTTGTTTGGGGGAGGTTATTCTGAAGTAGACTTCTGAAAAAAACAAACCTCGGGTACCCTAAAAAGGGGCACTTACCCTTGCTCAAGCTCTCAAATCTGGAGGACCTGGGCTAGACCCAGAGGGCTCCTTAACAGATACATTTTGCCCAATTGAAACATGGCTTTTTCCACCGGAATATAGGGAATCCACCATTTACAAGGCAATGTTCTGGTGAAAATGTCAGGATCCCCGACCCATGGCCCAGCCATCTTTTGTTGGTCCAGGCTTTGTCGGGGCCGGCTGAGTCCCCGAGTCCCAACTCGGTCCGGTTGGGATCGAGTAAGCTGGCAGGAAGGGAATGCGAAATGGAATGACGTCGAGGGAGACCATCTCTTCATGGCTTTGTTGGGCAACATGTTTCCATTGTTTTATCTTATTGTGGTTTAGTGGTTAAAATCCAAATCCACTTAGTTGCTAAAATTTTAATGTTTGCTCCCCAAACCCAACGTCAACCAAGTCTTGTGGTTTCCTAAGGAGACTCAAAACGGTTCATTCCCACAACCCGGAAGGGCATTCCCCACTGAGGCACCAGCAAGTTTTGGCCCATCCGAAACCTAAGGGCCAGTTTGGCCGGATTCTGCGAGTTTTGGTTTAAGCAAGGCCTTGGTACCAAAAGTCAACTTGGTCTTTGGGCACTGCGATAAGAAGCTGTTCAATCGGGCCGTTTCTGCATGTTTTTCTTTGGGTCAACGCTCACTTGTTGCCAAAGTCCATTTGCCTTGGGCCTGGTGATGCTTCAAGCGGATCTGGATGAAACCGTGTCATAGCACTATTGCCCTATGACGGAATTAGGCTTATCATGTTGTGCTGAAGTTTTTCCAGTGGACCGAGTTACCTGTACATTTAGTAGATAGCCAAGGGAACCGCTCTTTAAAACCAATAGGAAATTAGTCAACTGGAATCCACTGGGTTCCTCATACCGCAAATTTGCTTCGACTCTTCCCCGTTTGAGCCGCGGAACCAAGAAACCAAACGCGGCTCGAAAGCACAGGGATCACAGGGCCGGGGCTCCCAAGCACGAGCCGAGGCAAGCAGATCCATGACTTTGTGGAGTGCTATCAGGCGTCGGGGCTTCGGGGCTTCGACGTTTTTGTTGCATTCCGTGGCTCAAAAAGACCCTTTTGGGGCCCGAGAGGGGAAGTAG